GGCATGTCCAAAACACGGACTAGAAGCCTTTGTATCATGCCAGTTCAAGATTTTAGATGGAGAAATACTTGTGCACATTGAAAGTGCATTTATGTTTGCATTGCTGATGCCAGGGAGTAAAGGCAGCGTAAAAAAACACACATGTATTGCCAATTTAAAGTGTTTAAAGTTATTTCTTCCCCCGATACGATCTCTGCTCTAACCCTAACCCATGAGCCCAGATACAGTCATTTTCTTATGTTGGAAGCTTTCGAACATGAGCTGGACTTTTAAATAGTGTTCCTACAGGCCTGCAGCTCCATCTGCTGGGAACAGACTATAACAAACTGTAAGACATTATGCAGCACGCACACACACACACACACACACACACACACACACACACACACACACACACACACACACACACACACACACAAGAAATTAAACTGGAGGTTAGAGGACCAAATGAGTCACTGCAGAGTATTTATTAAAGTCCACTCACTGTGCTGATTACAGTTTGTGTGATGCTAAATAAAAATTTAAACGTACAAGTTAGACAGCTGAATCCTTTAACCGCCATGTTTTCTGTTTTTCTTTTGAAATATCTTCATCCACCTATAGTTCGCTTTTCAGAAGCATATTATTTTGTCAGCAAGTCACATTGTAGCTCTCTTCTCAGTAAATATATGTTTTACAAGATTTTGGGGGATATTTGATCTGAAGAGATTTTGTTTTTGACACGTTTTTATACATATCCATTGTGGCGTGACATAAATATATGAGAACATTTAACCAAAGATGTTGAATATGATGATGAATGACCCGCACATGTATAGCGCCTCTCAGAGTAAGGACTCCAAAGCACTTTACACTACAGTGTATCATTCATCCATTCACACACACATTCACACACTGATGGTGATGAGCTACGCTGTAGCCACAGCTGCCCTGGGGCGTACTGATAATAAAGAAGCCGAAGGGTTTTAAGATGTTCACGCATTAAGTATCTCGTGGCCACGCATTAATTTCTGGTGGCAATGAGTTATTAATATAGTTCAAAGTTGATGCCAAAAGCTGTGTCAAATGAGATGTTGCATTTTGTTTTTCTGCTCCATCGCATCATCCCACCCACCAAACTGATAAAGCGCTGTGATTGGCCCAGTAAACCATAGAGTGCTGTGATTGGTCCACTAAACCCATAGAGCACTGTGATTGGCCAACCAAACCCATAGAGCACTGTGATTGATATAACACTATACCGATCAGGCCAATGGTAGCCTTGCTGAGGTTCCAATTGAGGATGGTGAGACCAATGTCCAAAGTAAAATTATTTTTCTTCAGCTCCTTTCTGTCTAGATTTCTAAGCTACACGTTTCCCTTACATTGGTGAATTATGATATTTTATTGTTTGTCTATTTTAGTATTGTATTTTATGAATGTATTCTAAAAGTGGTGATTGGTGATTTATTGTCTTTTTAGTTTAGTATTGTTATAGGGTATTTTTAGTCTGGTATTATTCTACATTTAGTATCATTAATTAGTGTTTATTGATCAATTGATCACTCTTTTTATTATTCTTGATCTTTACTGTCTAGAGCAAATGCTTCTGCAATCAGATTCCCTCGGGATTAGTAAAGAATTTATGATTCTGATAATGACGTCTTTCAGCATAACTTGGTAAGATTTATAATGTATTTGCAAATATGTATTAAAACAAAGACGCGGAAATCTTTCATTTTAATTCATCAACTTTATTTGTAAGAGAAAAACCAATGTAACGTGATGAAGGAGCTATTCCTCCAAGGTTATTTAACCTTTTCCACAGTTGCCTCGACACAGCGCCAGAGTGCATGAAACAGCCTCAAGGTCATGCATTTGCTTCTAAACAGTTTACTTTCCAGCAATGAAGACAGAAGATGAAGACTCTTTTCTTTTATTAAATCAAAGAACTCTATTTTCAATAAAGCTAATCAAAACAACTGTTAGTCAATAATACAATGTGGCCGATCTGTGAAATCACAATGTTATGATTAATATGTTTCAATAAGTAATATGACTTAATCTAGTTCACTAGACACACTGACACACGTAAGGAAAACAATCACATGAAACATTGTTGTTACTGATCCAATCAGAACCTTCCTAGTCTGAAGCGTGGCCGAGTCTCTGTGGTGTTTATAAATCTGCCAACTTTAATTCGTCCAGAATCAAAAACATCCAGATTAATAAAACAGTTCCAACTCCATCTCAAGATCTCATTGAGTTCACCGCATGCTAAGCAGAGTAATTAGACCGGCCATCCGAACTTCTCTTTATAAGCTGAGAACCACCAAGCTGGAAAAATTCTGTTGTTTTTACCAACCAAGCAAACTTTCAGAATAAAAGCTGAACTCGCTGACCCAAGGAGGGTCCCCTTTTGACGCTGTGAACCACCTGTCGCTTTTACCTGGAGACAATCCAAGGACTAGTTTGGCGTGCTGTGACGCTATATCACTGGCTCCAGTACCGAAAGAAAGGTCCGAGGATCTGGCATTCTGGATCCATCGTGGAGGTCTCACTGAGGGTGTGTGGATGCGACACAAATGGCATCTCGTGTGTTTATGACTACAAGTCTCAAACTCTGATCAGTTAGGAGCAAAACATCATCCCACTCAGACTTGCTTCTCCGGATACGAGGGTTTTGAATTTGACACTCATTCACCACACACCATTCACCTCACACTTCATTCAAACAGAGCATCCATCATTAGAGAGTTAGTCTTGTTAAATTGTTTAAAATTATTTAGTAATACATTTCCTTAAATGTTTGAAAGTCTCTCTCTCTCTTCTCTTGTCTCTCAGTTAATACAAAGTGTTATTTTAAAATTCCTGCATTAAAAAGATCCAATCTTCTGATTTAAATAACCCAGTGTCCATAAGATGGATTTCATACTCGATATGAAATTTAATGTCTTATGGTCCTTATTTAAATGTAATTAACATCTTCATTACACCAAGATGCTTGACAAATCCAGAAAGTTCATCTGGAGGCAGGATTATCAGATGTTCATCGCTGTTTCTTCCTGTTGAGAGGGACTGATGATTGGAGTTGTTGTTTACTTCCTTTTTGGTATGTTATGTAAGCGCTGAGGTGACTGGAACAATCACCTGGATTAACGTCAGACTGTAAAGTGGACCAGTATGCAAAAGAAAAGCTAAAGAGGAAACTGTGCTTCTTGAGAAAAACGAGATGTTTTATTTTTTGCAGAAAGATGCTGGTCTGTCTACCACCTCCTGAGTCTGTTATGGAGATTGCAGTCTCATTTTCAGTCATTTCTTGGGGTTGCATCATCAAAAGGCTGAGCAAGCTGATGAAGAAGTTTGGTTCTGCTCGGGGGGTGTTTCAGGAGCCTCTAGAACTGACTGGACAAAGGAGAATGCTTCAAAAAACACGATAGACAACTCTGAGCATCCTCTTCATAGGACAACAATGAGAGGCTTCCTCCTCAGATCTGCACCGACACACCCCGATATAAAAGGTCCTTCCTGCTGGTTGAATAGGGGAAAATGCTGTGCATTTCACATAGCACTGTTTGGCTATGTGTTGAAATAGGATGTGTTGGTGAGGCTGGCTGGGCACCAAAAGTAGATGCATGTTTGGCTTTTGAGTTGCTCAACAGCATTTTTCTCGCTAAAAGCACCCAAAAACCTCTTTTAGCTTCAGGTTAGTCCAGGTAGTTCAAAGCTATCCCCTGTTGGCTCCAAGCTCTGTTTAGCTTTGTGTTAGCTCGTAGCTACATTGGTTCAGAGTTTATGGGTGTCAATCGTTTTCTCCCACCCTCACAGACCCACTCTCAGCTCCACCTCTTTTCCCATTTTTGGATTGTCTGGGCATGACAAAGCGTGTGACACAACCAAGATGGTGGCGATCGGAAACCGCCCATCTGGCTTCAAACATGTCCCACATAAAGCTATGGGTGGGATTTGTCCATCTTTTTTATGCAGTCATTGCAAACATCAGATCACACACCCTCTAGTGGCCACAGGGTGAAACTAAATCCACATGAGACTAGAGGGACTTGATTTTTCTCTTAATAAAATAAAGTTAATAGGTTATCTAAAATAAATGTATTTAGTTACACATTTTTACTCACCTACGATAGTAGTTTCTAGTCAAACATGTCAGATATGAAAATATTAGTCATTGCCAATAAATACCCACCTGTATTTAATAAACGCACTCAGGCATTTAATAAAAAAAAAGGTCCATATTTTGTTTGTGCAATAACAAAAAACATACAGTAGAAAGATCTTCTAATTTAATGCAGGTTTTGTTATTTGAAACATTAAAGCGTTTTTATGCCTGCTTTTTGCTAAAACATAATAAAAAAAGGGAAATGACTAATGACACCTTCCTGCATGCTAAGAATACATTTTGCTTTTGTGAAGCACAGGGTGTTTCCAGCACATCAGGACATACACATTACAGTAAAATTACCAATGAAATGATAATTCCCACAAACTGAAAACAATCCATGTTTATTTGTATCCATATTTTCTCCTTTTCCCCTGTGACTGTCTATTGTCATCCACACCGGTGCTTGAGTACAGAGAAAAAGAGCTCAAGGTTTCCAAGGTGTTTCCTTTGCTGTTCTGATAATGTGTGTGAGAATGGGAAAGTGTGTGTGTCTGTAATGGACACATTAGCACTTCACTTTTACCCAGAATGCACTGTGGAAAAGGTAACACCCATTTTTTTCCTCTTCAGATGAAAACTGCCAGCCTGAGGGTAGAGTTAAGGGACAAAACAGGAGGTAGGAAACCAACTTTACCCTCAAATTATTCTCTTCAAATGGGTTTATGGAGTCCCTCTGGGGATTTTTAGATTTTTTTTAGCATTCCAGAGGTGTGAGGGAAGGAAGTGGGATGGTTCAGAGAGCAGACAGGAGGAGCTTCAGAGTTTTGAGCTCTGTTCAAATGGTAAATAGAGTCACGTGGGGCAATGTGAGGAAAGAGGGAGGGAAGATAACAAGGAAGAGGAGTTGCAAAAGCCCCTGGAGGACTTTAGCCTGCCTCATGTTTAGGAGGCGGTGCTTTACCCAAAGTTTAGAGGACACAAAAGAAAGGAAGCTGAAGTTTTGGAATGAGTGCCATGTTGTGGTTAAACTAAGGCTTTTAGCAGAGTCACCAGAGCTGACTGGACTCTAGATTCACTTTTTAAAACTTGCTTTGTAACATTTTTTTCGCCTCTCTGCAGTTGGAATCCTACAGCTACCTGGTTTTCATCACCACACTCTTGTTGTTCTGCGTTTCTTCCGGGTAACAGAAGACCCAAGATGCCCACAAACTTCACTGTGGTACCAGTGGAGGATGTGGAGGATGGCAGCAACAGCCCTGCTGCATCTGAGGAGAACAAGCCAATCAGTCTGGGTAAAATCTTTCAAGACCAAGAGAACGTGGACAACTTACAGGAGTCTCACTCAGGTACACCAGATCTCCAAGATGAAACATCTACTTTGACCTTTTGACACACACACTGATAGGTGGTGCTGGTATGATCATCTATGACTCACTGTGTGAGTGACTAAACAGAAACCTACAGAGAAACACACTTGTGTTGTGGCAGCACATGCTCCACTAACAGAAAAAAAAAAGACACCTTAGAAGAGTTCAACCATCCGGAACTTGCAAGGCGCTTTCAGGCATGCTGCAGCAGGGTGGGAGGGCATTTATGTTGCCAAGTATTTACTGTCCTAAATGATAGCTGAGGCTGCAAGCCTCATCAAAACTGGGCCACATCTACAAAACAGTCTTAACTTGTAGGTCTCACACAGAGAGGCTGTAACTGTTGAGCGCTGAAGAGATTTAGCATTAACGTTTCTTGGTTTTTTAAACTTTTGATAGGGAAAGGACTAAATGTTCAAATATTTAAAGCATGCAGATACAATCTGCCTTCGGGTAACATCCAGGGAGGAAAAAAACTGAAACTAGTTTCAGTTTGCTTGCTTTATTTTAAATATCTTGCCTCTCTTCACCACGGTCATTTTTTCCTCAGGTCTTGCATTTACTGCTGCTTTGTTCTGAGTTATATCTGGTTGAATGTTACTGACACCCGAGAGGCTCCGGGCCCCTGTTCCTCCTCGCCTGCACCTGTAACTGCTTCTGTTTCTCTAACGGTGCGACATTTTTCTGTCCCTCCATGTTGTGCAAAAATTTGAGCGTTTGCAAAGGTCTGGGCTTGGGTCTACAGCTCTGAGATAAGAACTGGGTGTGTTTTGTTCTTGATTATCTTGGTAATGTCTCACGGTGTATTGTCCATTTTTAGGGGCTTTTGTCCTACGTTTAGTTCTTACCCTTTAGTCGCTGAAGTTGGCGAGCACACCGTGGCTCAGGGCACCAGGCTCACTTTGCATCTGCAGAAGTTTAACTCAAACTTTAGGGGGAATTTGGCTTCTTGTTGTCATTTAGAGGAAAAAAAATAATGACTTTTTAACATTAACCAGCAGATTTGTCTCTAAAATGGACGTTTATTTTGTTGTGCATATAATTCTCCTTCTATTAAGCAGCGTAATTAATCATACATGAATATCACCAGTGATAGAAATGCTGCCTGTGAGGTTTTTGAAACCAAAGCTTAATCTATGGATTTACCCTGCCTAGCATCTATAGAAATTTTGAAAATAGAATTCATGAAGCAAAGATTTTTTATATCAAATGCGGTGAAATTGAGAAGTGAAAGTGAAATCTAAGCAGAAAAATGCAACCTAAGTGGAGTTTGTCAGGGAAGTTTCCACAAAACAAAATAAAAATAATGACATCTGAAGGTTTTAGTGCAATGAAGTGGTTTCTCTTTCTTTGAATATATGCCCTGGAGGAAGAAGTCACCCACAGCACAGATGGACACACACCCTCAGACACCAAGTGCTGATTAGACAAAATGGTTCCAGTATAAACACTAACATCGCTATGCCATAATTTTCTGTGACCTGTATCAGGTTTCACAAGAAGACTGCTACTCAGGGTAGGGTCACTTTTTGGGATAAATTTCAATCTTCTAAAACGATTCAAAGCTTTCTTTGAATCCTTTTAACAAGGACAGAAGTCTAAGTTCATGAGAGAAAACGTTGAAATAAACGGGGGTTTTTTCCAATTAAATAGATAAAATGAATGATACAGGATTGCATCGGGTGCTGTCCTCAATGACTCTGTTTTAAATTATAATCCACATAAACATTCACTTTTTTCTTCTAGGACGCCAAATATCAGCTCTTAGACCTTAGTTTGTTTTGATGTGTTGACTATAGACAATGACTGTAGCCAAGGTTAAAGTGGTTTTATTTGAGGAGTTTAGATGTAATCAGGTCATAAAACATAGAAGGTTTTCCTTTTGTACTTTAGGCCAAGTTCTCTGAGAAACGCTCAGATTAGAAAAGCCAGTCAGATCTACGCCACACTGAAAATAGCATTCATGGATTCACCCATCTTGGTTTATAACATGAAAGGCTGTTGTTGGTTTAGCGTCCAGCAGAGTGCATCTCAGCTAGCATCAGCTGACTGTTAGCATTAGCAACTACACAACACAACAGAACTCCTTCAGGCTCGAGCTATTTGTGAAGATAAACCATCAACAAGAGCAAAGAGCAAACTAAGTCAGTGGTAGAGTCAGGTTGCTGTTAGCCAATCAGAGATGTCTGAATGTCATGGTACATTGACTGTAAGTGTATAGCACCTTCTTAGGGTTCTACAACCCCTCAAGGCACTTCACAAGACAATCTGTCATTCACCCATTCACACACTGGTGGTGATGAGCTACAATGTAGCCACAGCTGCCCTGGCACGCATTGACAGAGGTGAGGCCTGCCTAAAGGTTGGTTTATGCTTGACGCGTCCACGAGGTCCGCACGGCTCCGCGCGGAAAAGTTGCGTCATTTTAACAACCATGCCCCTCCACCGCGTCTCCCCACGGCCCAAGATTTCCGCAACGCGGACGGACGGACGCGGAAAAACATGGCGGACCGGCAAGAACTAGTATGGCAGAGGTTCGTAAATACAGACATTTGTATGATTCAGCTCTCAGAGATCACCAGGATCAACATGTTGTTAATCATTCTTGGAGAGAAATAGCTCGCACTGTCGGAAAAGACGAGGACGCTGTTAAAAATGCGGAAAAAAATGCCATGTTGTAAACAGTCATTTCTACTTCTACTATGGTGTAGTGTTGGATGCATGCCATAGAGCTCCATGCTGCCCCGTTCAGTTTGGGAGAATATTGGCTCACCGCAGAGACGAGCCGCACGAACCATAAACGCCACGCCACTAGCACCACCGGTCCCTCCAGCCACCACCAGCAGGCAAGGCAGGCTAAGTGTCTTGCCCAGGGAAACAACAGCAGCATTCTCTGGCAAGGGCTGGGATTGAACCTGGAACCTTCCGATTACTGGACAACCCGCTCAACCTCCTGAGCTGTCTCAGGAGTACTCAGAAGCAGGCACAATGATCAGAAACTATTGATTGCAATGAATTATTGAGGGTAGATAATGGAATGTGGATAGTGAGCTTTTATGATTTTTGCAGCTCATTCCTGTCGTTGGAAGCAGCAAACTGGAATGAGGAGCGGCTGAAGGAGGTGCGAGCTTTGGGAACAACCATAGAGATTAAGTTACTGGGACGTAAATTGCACTGGTTGTTGGATTGATTGCTGGTTGATATGACGAAGTTTTACAGATGATTGTTGAGTGATAAATGACATTGAGTTTATGAAAAAGTTTTTTGACCTAGTTCTATAAATGATGCCACCGTAATCTAAGATGGGACGGATTGTCATTTTGACCAAGGTTTGCTTTGCAGAACGAGTAAAGGATGACTGATGTGGTCTAGAAACCCACAACTTGACTTTAGAAAGTATAATGAATTAATGTGAATGTTAAATGAAAGAGGGCTGCACGATATTAGGAAAACCTGCGATATGTGATAACAGTGATTAATATTGCGATGACGATATTACTTCCGTCAAATAAAAACTTAACTTAGGAACAAAAATAATCAAAAACAAAGAAATTTAAAAAATGACCAAAAAAAGTCATAAAAATGAGAAAAGCAAAAGATGAGAGGCAAGGGAAAAAGAAAATGAACAAGAAAAGGCAATCAGTGGATCCCGGGAAAAGCAGAAAGAGCAGAAGAAAGCTAACTCGGGTGTTTGCTAACCATCAGAATTGAGTGCCGTCCGCCTCGGGGGCGGGCATCTAACCTATGAGAACCCACCCAATTGGCCAAATGGGTGAAGAGCTCTGTTTGATTTCTTAAAAAAACATCATGCCTCCGTTTGATTGACATAACGCATTATGTGTAATAAACATTTGAGCTGACCATTCATTGCGATATTTATCGGTTCGTTGCGATATACATATTACGCATGCTGATATCGCGATAACGATATATTTGCGATATATTCTGCAGCCCTAAATGAAAGTGTATGCTGCTTAGCCAGATACGCAGATACTTATAGGAACTGACAAGTTATAGTTCTGTACCATCCAGGGAATCAATGCTAGGGTGGCAAGTTGATAGCAGTAAGTAGCGGTTGAAGATCATAAACTTTGTTTTACTTGTGTTTAAATGAAGATAATTGTGTTTGCCGTTTGTTGGGTTATCAGTCAATTTTAATTAGTTTTTTGTGTGTGTGAAAATGACAACTGTTGTTTTCTTAAATCTCTAGTTTGTGTTCTTTTATTGTCCTTTCCTTGTCTCTGTTCCTTAATATTTAGCATTTAGGTAAACAATGCTGCAGATTTTACGTTATTCGCCTTGGCCTTGGTAGTTAAATGGGCCGACTCCCTCGTCTGTCCAGTGCTTTCCAGGAAGCTTTTTTTTAGAGAAGTTGCTTAACTGAGCTGCACAGAGAGTGTATTGTTCAGAGCATTCGGACTGTGTGTTTTGACACTTCATTAAACCAAATGGTAATTGGGATTTTTTGTATTTTAATCAGCTGTAACATTATATAATCATGACTCAAATTACGTTAGAAGTATTAAATAATTTAGGTCTTGAGAGCATCACCAGCACGTTAGACTTAAGAAGACTTGTGCTTATTGTAGGTTTCCTTTAGCCTTGAAATCTAGACCATCAGTTGCTCCGCTTGGCTTCCTTCTCATCTGAGTTTTCTCAACTACCTGAAGTATTTTGTTTGCACTCTGAAATGGGATAATCATCTTGTGAGCTGTTGAATTCATGTGCAAACCACCCACCCCACCCCGCTCTTCAAACCCCAGCCTCATCCCAGTCGGCATGCAGTTGTCAGGGTCTTTATTGACTTATTTTGCTGTTTGTCTACATGTAAAATGTTTTGTTTTAGGGGTTTCTGATCAGCAAACAAATCCTCAGACAATGGAGACAACTACAAAAATCGATTTTTCTATTGATGTTTTATGTAGATATGATAAAAATCAAGTCTGTCAGAAACATAATATTAGGACCATGCTTGTTAAGGAAATACCATCAACATATAGGCAAATACTGACACCTAGTGGTGAATACAAGATGTAATTGAAGAGTTTTATACTCAAAACTTTAGTGATTTTGAAAGTTCACTGTTTTCTCTTTGAAACTTGGAGCAGTCATGTCCTGAGTAGGATTTCCAATGTCATTCCTTATGAATCTTTAAGCTATTTTAAAGAATATTCCTAGATTAATTAGTTACTTAACCATGTGATCTGTGTTTTATCAGTCAATATTACTGAATTGTCTTTATCCTCTATGAGAAGGTTTGTCCATAGTACCACGTTAAGTACTATCTTCTAAATCATGATCACTGTCTATTCCAAATTTTGTGAAAATGCTACATACAACTTCATCTAGAAATATCTTCTCATGTGTTTCTTGCTACTGGGCGAGTTTCTTTGAATCTTATCTCATTTCTGTTTTATGTCACACAAGAAGATGATGGTCAGCAAGAGTCTAGTCCTTTCATCAGCCTTGACAATGATGAAGAGCAGTCTTATGATGGCAAGAACATGGCTCTTTATGAGGTAACTCTAACAAGGATTCTGCAGTTTATGTTTGTGCCTCTAAATATAATTTTTGTTTTTGTTTTCATGTTTAGGAGGAAATGGACAGTACACCTATGGTATCGTCCCTTCTCAACAAGCTGGCCAACTACACTAACCTCACCCAGGGCGTTCGAGAGCACGAGGAGGCTGAAGATGGAGCCACGAGGGTCACTGTTATGGTGGGTTGTCAGCAGATGTGCTCCCTGGCCCAGTCCCAATACTCGCACTGCAGCCTATGGCTCTCTATTAAGTGCACTTGTTGGATGTGCGTTTAGTAAACAAGTGTGTAAATAATTATAGAATTGAAATGGTGAGCATTGTATCATCAGTGGATGGCAGTGTTGGGAGTAACGCTGTTTAAATATAACTGCGTTCTTTTTTAGGTAACGGAATAATCTAATTAATTACTTTTCCCACTGTTGCAACGCCATTACCGTTACTGGTAGCTATGTGCTCGTCGAATGTTGAGCAGCAGTGTGAGGCTTTCTGACCGCCACACTTCAGCTGCAGCCAGGGAGAGAGAGAGGTGTCGGTAACGCACTCAAACACGATGATGATTGGCCGGGTGGGCGGAGACCCTCAGTGTTCTCACTGTCACCGCATGCTGTAGACACAACCATCACAACAGAGCACTGATGGGAATAATGCAGTTTAAAAATAACCACGTTAAAAAAAAATTTTTCTTTCTGTAACGAGCAAACGAATTACCGTCTTCTTTAAACAAAACTATCGTTTCTGTTACTGATAATAAAATGCGTGCGTTAAGCAGCGTGGTGTGTTGACGCTGTCATCAGCTGATCAGGAGCTAAAAAGGTAGATGTTTTCATCCAAGAGCATCACGGCCCGTGAAGAATATCTACGGCTGCAGACCCACAGATTCGCTGCTGCAGGTAGGAATCTGCAGCCGTGCCCTTCTTAGCGTGACAGCGGGACGTCCCGAAGGTCCGCTCACCTTCCTAGATCATCCAGCTGTAACCTGTTTCTGATCATGTCTTTAGTCCCGCTGTAACACTGATGCATCAGTCTCAGACGCCATGGAGCTCAGGTGTTATTAGAACTACCTGTGTGTGTTTACCACCCAGCTTCAGCTCTTCTGTGGTTGGGTCTGACCCAAGTTAGTAAATGTAAGTCCTCCATCAGGCTTGTGCCTGTTCTAGTGTCATTTTAAAGGATTTTATTTATTTATTTAACCGTTACTAGATTAGCAGCAACAGAAATGCTACTAATAGCAGACAATTATGTGAAGCTGGAAAAATTAAAATGCTGTGCAGAATTACTTTCATTTCTGAAATTTAACTAGACAGAGAGACCATTTAAAGGCTCGGGAACCTTTACAGGTGTTTCTATTTGCAATTTTAAATTTTAGCTGATTGGGGTCTTGTTAAATATCACACAGTGACCCTTTAATAGTCTAGATAAGTGTAATGCTCCTGTTAGTAGTTCCTCCTGTTCCTTATTTATTTAAATTATTCAGGTTTATAAAAACATTTGGACATACATTTTATTATGTTCCAGTCATTAGTCATTTATATTTCACTATTGTAGTAGTTTTTGTATGCTTTAATGAAAAAAGTAACTAAGTAGTTATTTTTCTTGGTGATTAGTTACTTTTATAATCTTGTAACTCAGTTAGTAACTGAGTTACTTTTTTGACAAAGTAATCAGTAACTATAACTAATTACTTTTTTAAAGTAACGTTCCCAACACTGGTGGATGGTGAGTAAAAGCCTTTGCTAAAGTCTGCACCGATGCGGGGTTCAACCAAGTTCGTGTCAAGGCTGTAAAAGGGGCGGGGCCAAGGTCCACACGTGAGAATCGAAACACCCTACTAACTCACACACTGGACTTTTATGGGGGGGGGGGGGGGGGGGGGGGCAGTGTGGAAGTTTGAGTATTGGGACTGGGCCTTTGTAGGGTTATCTTTAGGGTAGATGGTTGACTTTTAGACAACTGGTTGTTCGTCGTCGTCGTCTTCCTCCGCTTATCCGCGGGGGCAGCATCCCAATTAGGGAGCTCCACACCGTCCTCTCCCCGGCTTTCTCCACCAGCTCCTCCGGCAGGACCCCAAGGCGTTCCCGGACCAGATTGGAGATGTAACCTCTCCAACGTGTCCTGGGTCGACCCGGGGGCCTCCTGCCGGCAGGATATGCCCGAAACACCTCCCCAGGGAGGCGTCCAGGAGGCAACCTGACTAGATGCCCAAACCACCTCAACTGGCTCCTTTCGATACGGAGGAGCAGCGGTTCTACTCCGAGTCCCTCCCGAATGTCCGAGCTCCTCACCCTATCTGTAAGGCTGAGCCCGGCCACCCTACGGAGGAAACTCATTTCGGCCGCTTGTATCCGCAATCTCGTTCTTTCGGAACGTAGATCGACTGGTTAATCGAGAGCCTGGCTTTCTGGCTCAGCTCCCTCTTCACCACGACAGACTGGCTCAGCATCCGCATCACTGCAGACGCTGAACCAATCCGCCTGTCAATCTCCCGATCCCTCCTACCCTCACTCGTGAACAAGACCCCGAGATACTTAAACTCCTCCACTTGAGGTAGGACCTCTCCTCCGACCCGGAGATGGCAAGCCATCCTTTTCCGGTCGAGAACCATGGTCTCAGATTTGGAGGTGCTGATCCTCATCCCAGCCGCTTCACACTCGGCCGCGAACCTACCCAGCAAGAGCTGAAGGTCAGAGCTGGATGAAGCTAGGAGGACCACATCATCCGCAAAAAGCAGAGACGAGATTCTCCTGCCACCAAACTCGACACACTCCACACCACAGCTGCACCTAGAAATTCTGTCCATAAAGGTAATGAACAGAACCGGTGACAAAGGGCAGCCCTGGTGGAGTCCGACTTCCTACCGGCTATGCGGACCAAACTCACGCTCCTCTGGTAAAGGGACTGAATGGCCCTTAACAGAAAGCCACCCACCCCATACTCCTGGAGCGTCCCCCACAGGGTGCCCCTGGGGACACGGTCATAAGCCTTCTCCAAATCCACAAAACACATGTGGATTGGTTGGACAAACTCCCATGCCCCCTTCATCACCCTTGCAAGGGTATAGAGCTGGTCCACAGTTCCATGGCCAGGACGAAAACCACATTGCTCCTCCTCAATCTGAGATTCAACTATCGATCGGACCCTCCTCTCCAGTACCTTGGAGGAGACCTTTCCAGGGAGGCTGAGGAGTGTGATCCCCCTATAGTTAGAACACACCCTCAGGTCACCCTTCTTAAAGATGGGGACCACCACCCCGGTCTGCCACTCCACAGGAACTGCCCCGATGACCACGCAATGTTGCAGAGACGTGTCAACCATGACAGCCCTACAACATCCATAGCCTTGAGATACCCAGGACGAAGGAGGTGGGAGTTGAAGACCGTCTTAACAGGTTCTTCTGCCAAGTGTTCCCAGCAGACCCTCACTATGCGTTTGGGTCTACCAGGTCTACGCGGTATCTTCCCCTGCCATCTGATCCAACTCACCACCAAGTGGTGATCAGTTGACAGCTCCGCTCCTCTCTTCACTCGGGTGTCCAAAACATACGGCCGCAGGTCAGATGATAAGACTACAAAGTCTATCATCGACCTGCGACCTAGGCTGCCCTGGTACCAAGTGTACCGATGGGCATCCTTATGTTCGAACATGGTGTTCGTTATGGCCAAACTGCGGCTTGCACAGAAGTCCAATAACGAAACACCACTCGAGTTCAGATCAGGCGGGCCGTTCCTCCCAATCACACCCCTCCAGGTCAAGCTGTCATTGCCCATGTGAGCATTGAAGTCCCCCAGCAGGACAAATTAGGTGTTCTGAAGCAGAGGAGAAACATGCAGGAATAGAATATATTTAAGCAAGCTGCTCTTGCCTTAAGTATAACTTTGGCATCTTTATTATTTTTCCGTTTTCTGTCCCTAAGGACCTTCAGCAGACCATGACTGCATTTAAATACCACATAAGAGGTGCCATTTTGTTTCCATAAGATTTGCCATATTTTGATTTTTTTTTGACTAGTAGTACTGCAGTCAAATGAAACAGTTCTTTGTATTGTTTCAAACAGGTTAAAGGGACTTTAGGGAGTTTTGAATTTTTATGCTCGCGATTGCCCCCTCTGGCCAAAAGCGTAACGACAGCTTCAATAGGAGGCTCGTGCACGAGGCGTGCATGCTGTACGTGCACACTCCTTAACGAAAATAACAGCTGAGATGAAGCTCTGTGAAGCTGACCCCGTCAGGGGGGGGTGGGGGGGCGGAGGACAGAGGACAAGAGAACACGCAGCTAATTAATTAAATAGTTTGGTTCTGTACTTTTCTCTTCAGTAAAGGTTTATGATGGGTCAGTCCTCCTGCATGCTCAGATAATTCCATTCCCTTACTTGAAAAATTGTTCCAAAATGAAAGTTGAACCCACATCTTTTTCATCTGTGAATTCAATGCCGTTCGGCGAGTCTCAAATAAAAATTTGGGCATCTTACTGTAAAAAAATATATCATTATTGTAAAAACAAAATTCTGAAACAGCCATATTCACGTCGAGAATCAAACCCAGGTCTTCTGCACGAAAGCCCAAAACTTTACTAGGCAAGCTAAATCACCAGTGGTGTCTTCTGCATCTGTAACGTTTATATCCTTGATGACAGCTGAAACAACATTCAAAGAACGGTTCGGAGGGCGATGCCTGAGCGTGAACGCGCATGAAGCAGCCTGCTCGACCCGAGCAGCTCTCTTTTTCTGTGATTTTACAGAAAAACAGGCAATCACAATAAAAATGCCAGGGCTCGTTCTACAGGACCAGAGCATTGCAGGAGAATGTATGAAGAAGATATGTATTATTTCTATACATGTTTTTGCTGTCAAACTTCCATAATGCCCCTTTAAGTAAGGATCTTACTGACTTGTCTTTATGCAGGGTATCCGCTAGTCCTTAAAAAGTCTTAAAAGTCTTAAATTTGCTTTTCCAAATTTAAGGCCTTGAAAATCCTTAAAAATGACAAATAATCCTTAAATACAGTTTCCAAAGGTCTTAAATTACCAAAGACCCAATAAACAAGATTCTTTTATTTCTATAAAATTTTCGTGAATTTCGAGTGTTCAGCATTTTTTGTGTACGATGTTGGCGTAAGCGGAACCGTACACATTCAGGTGGTTATGAAAAGGGGCTATTTTTAGATGAGCACATTAGCTGGTTAAGCTAGTGGGAGCTTGCGCCATGGGGAAGTGCAAGTTTAATGGTAACTGGATGGCTAATCCCACGTTCGCGACATGGTTAGCACTGGTTCCAGGCAATAGCTGGAAATTATAGCTTAAATTTAATTTTAAAAAATTGCTTACATTTGGTCAAAGTGGCCTTAAAAAAGATCTTAAAAAGTCTTAAATTTGGCTCCCTTAAACCTGCAGATACCCTGTTTATGGCTTGAGGGAAACCACTGACCCTTAAAACCATAAAAACTATTAAAAACATTAAAGTCTTTCATCCATTCAATAAAGAATCCATAAAAGTGCAAGTTACATTTTTTACATTTGTTTTGTTAATAAGTGACAAGCTGGGAGAACATTTGAAGCTTCAACACAAACAGTAACAGTCTTGTGCTTTCCTCTCCTGCTGGTTTTCACCTGTGCTCACGTTTGTGTGTCTCCAGGTCCCCCAAATGGGAACATTCATTGGGGTGTATCTGCCCTGCATGCAGAACATCCTGGGCGTGATTCTCTTTTTGCGTCTCACGTGGATTGTTGGAACAGCGGGAATCTTGGAATCCTTTGCCATTGTCTTCATGTGTTGTGTCTGTGTGAGTAACTGAACTACAAAATCCTTTCACTCATCTCCCGCATCAATACCAGAGTTCATGTCATAATAAAATCTTAAACTGAACAATCGCACATCTGAAGTCAAGTTTCAAATGTATGACACAGCAGACATTCTCATGAGCTAAAACAATAAAACCATCCGAGTCTATGAAATATCTTGTATTGGCCTGCTTGAGCTTAGAAGATGGTTCATGCAGAACATTAAAATCTTATTTTCAATCTCACATGTCAGCTGCTCCACATGGCCCAACAGCCTAAATGATCTGATCTCATGAGGTACAAATGATTGTGAGAACGGTGAGAAAACAGCCTAGAACAGCACTGGGCCTAGGTGGACACTGGCTGAATGTATCGCAATAAATCGTGATGTATCTGTATTGTGATACGTATCGTTTCGCCAGAATTTCACCAATGCACATCCCTAATGAATATGTTTATAATCAGTCCTCTTTCCCTCCATACAGACTTTTCTCACAGCCATATCAATGAGTGCCATAGCCACCAATGGAGTCGTGCCAGGTATGTATAGCTTTATTAAGCCAGAGTGCAAACGGGGTGAATGATTACGATCAAAAGCAGAGTTTTTATGCCTTATGACTCGTCATTTGCTAAATTATACATAAACAATTCTAGAGAAGCTATTGAAAGAACATCCCAGATTTTGAATAGCAGTTATATCATGCAAAGGTTTACTTTTACCTTTTTGATGCTCCCTGATTCCTTTTCTTAACCACTTACTTACCAGGCAGGGCAGTTCATCACAGAGACATGCAGTCACACACTCACTCACACCTAGGGACAAGTCAGGGTTGCCAGTTAATCTGATATGTATGTTTTTGGTGTGTGGGAGGAAATCTGAGTGACTGGAAAACACTTGCACGGGGAGAACAGGCTAACTTCAAACAAGGCTGCAGCGGGTTTTCAAACCTGCAACCTGCTTGCTGCAAGGCAAAAGTTCAGCATGCAGTCAATTTGGTGCTGAATTATGTTTTAATTACTTTTTTTATACCCCTTTACAGCTGGTGGCTCGTATTATATGATTTCCAGATCTTTGGGTCCAGAGTTTGGAGGAGCAGTTGGTCTTTGCTTCTACCTGGGAACTACCTTTGCAGGATCGCTGTACATCCTGGGCACCATAGAGATCCTGCTGGTACTTTCCCTCAGCCACATCTGTTTTCATGGTAGCTGCATTTTGGGAAGTCATCAAGTTTCTGTTCTTTTCCAGATATACATCGTTCCCACAGCAACAGTGTTTAAGGAAAGCAATAATGAAGCGATGCTCAACAACATTCGCGTCTACGGGACATGCTGTCTGATCCTGATGGCGCTAGTGGTGTTTGTTGGGGTGAAGTGAGTTCTCGCACATAAATAATCCAAAACAAATATGCAAACACACAATCTCACCTCTGTCTCCTTGTGTCTGCAGGTACGTGAACAAGCTGGCTTTAGTGTTTCTCTCCTGTGTGATTCTGTCCATCATGGCTACTTATGCGGGAGTCATCAAAACCCTCATACCGTTGAACCAATCAGAGTTTAAGTGAGTAATTAAGAATGTGGAAAACAGAAATTGTTCTGGTTAATAAATTATTTCTCTTATTTAAAAATGGAAAATGCCCCACTCCTCTGCAGTGTGTGTCTGTTGGGGAATCGCTCTCTGAGGGGTGAAATGATTCAGTCCTGTTCGAAGATGGAAGTAGTGAAAAACGTATCCGTCCGCACCAACCTGTGGGACTTTTTCTGTACAAATGAAACTTGTGACGAGTACTTCCTCTTGAACAATCTGACAGAAATAAAGGCCATACCAGGGCTCCTGAGTGGAATAATCAAAGGTCGGATGTTTCTTCACTGTTTTTGTTGCATCGTGTTCAAGCAAAAATAATCAACTTTTGACCCAGACAAAATCCATAACTTCATCTTTTTGGTCACATTTGATGGAGCTTCTGTTTTTCCATTAGAAAACTTGTGGAGCCACTATGGTCCAGCAGGGACGATGATAGAGAAGGAAAATCATTATTCAGTACCTGCTCAAGTCCCATCCAACGACAAAAACAAGTACTTTGTCTTCAATGACATCACCACTTACTTCACATTGTTAGTGGGGATATATTTCCCCTCTGTCACAGGTAACTCCTTCAATTTTTAAATATGCTCAAAACAAAAAACAAAATAAAGAAAAATATCAAATCTATAACAAATAATTTTGTCACCTGGCAGCTTTTCTAGAAATTGGATAACTAAACCTATTTACCTGCATATGCTTGTCTCATTTCAGGTATCATGGCCGGTTCCAACAGGTCCGGTGATCTTCGAGACGCTCAAAGATCCATACCGACTGGAACCATCCTGGCTATTCTCACCACCTCCTTTGTTTGTATCCTCCAGGCTCTGTTATGTTAAACGTGGGAAAAGACGGTCATGAATTAGTTTTTTATAAAAGCTTGTGATAGATCTGACAGTTCTTGTTGGTTTATTCTTTTTAAATTGGTGTTTCTGTCTTAACTTCTCGGTCAGACATCTCCTTTGTGGTGTTGTTTGGAGCCTGTATTGAAGGAGTGGTGCTGAGAGACAAGTAAGCAAACATGTTAAGTTGTTGTTGTTGTTGTTAGCCTCAAGGGCAATATGCTGATTATCACTTGTAAATAGCGTCTGCTAAATACATAAACATAAACATGTTGAAAGTAAAACTCAACATAAAACACTTTGATAGGATCTCGTTCGACTGACATGTTCATCAAACCCTATGTCTTGATTGGCATTTTTCAGGTTTGGATACTCCGTTAACAACCCAGTTATTGGTGCTCTGGCATGGCCGTCGCCCTCGGTGATAGTGATTGGCTCGTTTTTCTCTTGCTGCGGTGCAGGCCTGCAGAGCTTGACTGGTGCTCCTCGCCTGTTGCAGGCCATTGCTCGTGATGGCATCATCCCCTTCTTACATGTAAGTGACTAAAGACTCCTTCATCACATTGGGAATGATTTAATGTTGTTACATTTATGATTGATCGCTGTGGTATTCAAATAAAAATGTATCCAAGAAATGTACGCACTGACATTTATGTCAATAAAAGTCAAGACATCACTAAACAAAATAGTCTCTATAATGGACAATCCACCCGACTTTAGAACACTGTGTCCTAATATGATTGAAAAACTGTTTATCCTTATGGAGAAGATGAACGTTGCTCTTCTTGTTAATCTTCATGATTTTCATTTATAAATCGTTGATTGTAGCAATAAAAAAATTCATTTAAATATATCGTATAGGAGACACACACAGCGATATTTGAGAAGTGAAATGAAGTTTACAGGATTTACAGAAAGTGTGCAATAATTGTTTAAACCAAATGTGGCAGGTGCGTACATCTAGGCACTGTTGGCTTATTGATTCCAAAACCTTTAGAACTAATTAATGGAACTTAAATTGGCTTGGTAAGCTCAGTGACCCTTGGCCTCACACCACATATTTTTAATAATATTCAGGTCTGGGGACTGAGATGAACATTCCAGAATGTTCTACTTGTTGAATGCCTTAGTAGATTGTGAGAAGTGTTTAGGGTTGTTGTCTTGTTGAAAGAGCCAGCCCTGGTGCAGCTTCAGATTTGTCACTGATTCCTGGACATTGGTCTCCAGAATCTGCTGATATTGAGTGGAATCTTTGCATCCCTCAACTTTAACAAGATTCCCAGTTCCTGCACTGGGCACACAGCCCACAGCATGATGGAACCACCACCATGTTTTACTGTTGGTAGCAGGTGTTTTTCTTGGAATGTGTTCTTTCTCCTCCATGCATAACACCCCTTGTTATGCCCAGATAACTCAGTTTTAGTCTCATCAGTCCACAGCACCTTATTCCAGAATGAAGCTGGCTTGTCCAAATGTGCTTTAGCAAACCTCAAGCAGCGGTTTGTGCTGTGGGTGGAGAAAAGGCTTCCTCTGCATCACTCTCATGTACAGCATCTCCTTGTGTAAAGTGCGCCAAATACTTTGCACAGTGACTCCCATCTGCAGCAAGATGATGTTGTAGGTCTTCGGTGCTGGTCTGTGGGTTGAATCTGGCTGTTCTCACCATTCTTTGCTTTTGTTTATCCAAGATGTTTCTTGTTGCCTTAACTTGAACTGTGCCTGTGGTCTTCCATTTTCTCAACATGTTTCTAACTGTGGAAACAGACAGCTGAGATCTCTGAGACCGCTTTCTGTATCCTTCCCCTAAACCATGATAATTGAACAAGCTTTGTTTTCAGGTCATGTGAGAGTTGTTTTAAGACCCCATGTTGCTGCTCTTCAGAGAATATTCAAAGAGGAAGGAAACTTACAACTGGCCCCCTTAAATGGTCTCTCTCATAATTGAATTCACCTGTGTATGGAGGTCAAAGGTCACTGAGCTTACCAAACCAATTTTGAGTTCCAATATTTAGTTCTAAACGTTTTAGGTTCAATAAGATAACAGTGCCTGCCTGATTTTGTTTAAACAATAATTTCACATTTTCTGTAAATCCCATAAACTCCGTTTCACTTCTCAAATATCACTGTGTGTGTCTCCTATGTGACATATTTAACTGATTTTTTTATACAGGAAAATCATGTGCCACCGTCTGGGGCGAGGGTGGCACAGGAGTTAAGTGCTCGCCCCGTAATCGGAAGGTTGCAGGTTCGAGCCCCACTCAGTCTGTTGCTGTCGTTGTGTCCTTGGGCAAGACACTTAACCCACATTGCCTGCTGGTGGTGGTCGGAGGGACCGGTAGTGCCAGTGCTCGGCAGCCTCGCCTCTGTCAGTGCGCCCCATGGCAGCTGTGGCTACATTGTAGCTCATCCCCACCAGTGTGTGAATGTGTGTGTGAATTGGTGAATGACTGATTGTGTTGTAAAGCGTCTTGGGGGGTTCCAGGACTCTAGAAGGCGCTATATCAAATACAGGCCATTTACCATGAAGATTAACGAGGCTGTCAAAGCTTTCACATCCCACTCTTAACTTCTACTGACTTCTACTTAGCAACGCTTATTTTACTCAGCCTCTTTATATTACATTTGCTGCTAACATACAGTTTGTTGCTTGGCAATAAGTTTAGATTTTTTTATGCCCAGCAGCATCCATATTTTTCACCAAACTGCTATTGTGCAGTTCTCGGTGTTTAATGTCACTGACAACTAAAGCGTCTGAGCTTTGTGCAACATAACGTAGTCATCATTACTGTGGAATGCATGATAATGTGCAACAACCCAAACAGGGAATCTTGCTGTATAAACCTCATTTATTCCTTCCTTAGCATATTTACAGCCTTACAGAAATGTAAACTCTGCCCACATCCTCTTGTGCATTTGTTATGCTCTTTATTTGCATGTCGTGTGTGTGATAATAGAGTTGAATCACTTTATTTTTATTTCTGCATTTTTTTTTTTTTTTGCATACATCATTTATGTGTGCAGCTTTTACAAAATATTTTCCCCTTATGGATCATGAAATAATTGATCTACCCATTTAAACATGTTTGCCATAGCATAGACCAGATAATGTCATTTGGGAGTTACAAGAAAACAAGGTCTTCACATTATCAAAAGCTATATTTAAAAATTCTTGCATGATTTTACTTGTTATATAAGTTATAGAAGAGTGAATAAAGAGGCGCCCAGAATAGTTCCGACTGCAGTATTTATCCATCCATCCATCCATCCATCCATCCATCCATCCATCCATTTTCAGCCGCTTATGCAGAGTTGGGTTGCAGGGGCAGCCGCCTGAGCCGAGACGCCCAGACTTCCCTCTCCCCAGCTACTTGGGCCAGACATAGTCTTTCCAGCATACCCTTGCTCTTCCTTTGGGTCTCCTCCCAGTTAGATGTGCCTGGAAACCTCACCAGGGAGGCATCCAGGAGGCATCCTGGCCAGATACCCAACCACCTCAACTGGCTCCTCTCAATGTGAAGGAGCAGCGGGTCTACTCCGAGCTCCTCCCAGATGACCGAGCTTCTCACCCTATCTCTAAGGGAGAGCCCAGCCACTCTGATGAGAAAACTCATTTCAGCTGCTTTTATCTGTGAGATCATTCTTTAGGTCACTACCCAAAGCTCATGACCCTAGGTGAGGGTAGGAACGTAGATCGAATCGAGAGCTTTTCCTTCTGACTCAGCTCTCTCTTCAACATGACAGATCAGTACAGCCGCATCACTGCAGATGCAGCACCAATCCACCTATTGATCTCACACTCCATCTTTCCCTCACTTGTGAACAAGACCCCGAGAAACTTAAACTCCTCCTCTTGGGGCAGGACCACGTCCCTGACCTGGATAAGGCCTTCTCCCCTTTTCCGATTTAAGATCATGGTCTCGTATTTAGAGGAGCGGATTCTCATCCCAGCCGCTTCACACTCGGCTGTGAACCGCTCCAGCGAAGGCTGGAGATCACTGTCCAATGAAGCCAACAGGACCACCAAAAGCAGAGATCTGATCCTTAGGCCACCAAACAGATCCCCTCAACACTTTGGCTGCACCTAGAAATCCTGTCCGTCAAAGTTAAGAACAGAATCTGTGACACAGGGCTGCCTTGGCGGAGTCCAACTCTCACTGGAAACGAGCTTGACTTACTGCCATCAATGTGGGCCAAGCTCTGGCACCACTCATACAGGGACCCAGCAGCCCTTATCGAAGGGCCTGGTACCCCATACTCCCAGAGTACCCCCCACAAGGCCCCTTGGGGGATGCGATATTTGTCCTTTTACTGATTATTTAATCATGTTTGCTGTGTTTCTCAGGTGTTTGGTCATGGAAAAGCGAACGGTGAGCCGACCTGGGCTCTGCTGCTGACCGTTGGGATCTGTGAGATAGGAATCCTCATTGCATCTCTGGAAGAGGTGGCCCCCATCCTCTCCATGTATGATCCAACTCTCCGTGAGTTACTTTTCATTCTAAACCTTTGCGTCTTTTCACAGTCTTTATTTCTTCATTTAGGTTTTTTCTCATGTGCTACCTATTTGTCAACTTGGCCTGTGCTGTTCAGACTTTGCTCCGCACCCCCAACTGGAGACCTCGCTTTAAGTTTTATCACTGGTAGGAAGAAACTCCGTTAAAAAGAACTTATTTATGTGTCCCAGGCAGGCAGGGCCAATAAATGTGTGTTTGTTTTGTGCAGGACTTTGTCCTTTCTGGGGATGAGTCTCTGTCTCTCCCTCATGTTCATATGTTCCTGGTATTATGCTCTGGTTGCCATGCTGATTGCCAGCTGTATTTATAAATACATTGAATACAGAGGGTGAGTTTTTCTCTGGACTTTTATTTCTGCTATTAGGAAAAAATAAAGTTGTTGGTTTTTCTGTGACATCAGAGATAAACATTTGACATCTCACGTTTGAGGAAAAATAATATTTATCTCTTCCTTTTCTTTTTAATGCAGAGCGGTAAAGGAATGGGGTGATGGGATCAGAGGTTTGTCTTTAAATGCAGCTCGCTACGCTCTTGTCCGCCTGGAGGAGGTACCGCTGCACACCAAAAACTGGAGGTGAGTGTCTCTACGATGTTTGTCCCTCCAAACCTCAGATTTACTTTTAATATAATTCATGAAGCTTATCATGCTTGCATATTCCAACTCTCCTCAGACCACAGGTGTTGGTGTTGTGTAAGCTGGACGCGGATCTGTCCGTGAAGCACCCTCGTCTCCTGTCCTTCACCTCTCAGCTCAAAGCAGGAAAGGGTCTGACCATCGTCTGCTCAGTCCTAGAGGGCACGTACATGAACCTCAAGGAAAACGCCAAAACTGGAGAGCAGGTTGGTTATCGTTTTCCTTTTTTTAAACTGGTACCAGATAGTAAAGCACTTGATATAAGCTGTTGTATGCTTGAGGGCCAGGGCCGGAGTTAGACAATCTTATAGATATCCAAAGTGGAGCATTTACAGTGAGTATGGAAAGTATTCAGTCTGTCAATTTTTCACTCTGTTTTATTGCAGCCATTTGCTAAAATCAATTAAATTCATTTTCTTCCTCATTAATGTACACACAGGATGTTATTCTGACAGAAAAACACAGAATGTTAGAAATGGATGCAGATTCAAATCAACTTTTCATTTAAGCCAACTCAATCAACGAAAGTTCTGTCTGATTGTATCCTTGAGGTCAAGCAATGGCTAGCTGACAACTTCCTCCATCTTAATGACTCCAAACTGACTTAATCGTTTTCAGTCCTTACAGTACCACGGCTTCTCATCAACCTGACCTCAACTATCTCTCACCTAATGTTTCCTCTGTAATCTCCAACCTTGGAGTAAAAATGGACCAGGCTCTGAAGATGGATGCCCAGGTCAATAACACAGTTAAATCATGTTTTTACCAACTAAGACGCATCTCAAAACTAAAGCACATCCTGAGTGTCCGTCTTCTGAAATCTGTGGTCCACACTTTCATCACCTCAAGGCTGGATTACTCTAACTCCTGCTTATACGGCATCAGTAAAGCAGCTCTTTCTAGACTTCAGCTGGTCCAGAATTCTGCAGCTAGGTTGTTGACTGGAGCTGACAGAAGACAACACATTTCACCAATTCTGAAATCTCTCCACTGGTTGCCCGTGCAGTTCAGGATAAATTTCAAAATTATGCTTCTCACTTACAAATCCTTGAACCATCAAGCTCCTCCATATCTGTGTGAACTTGTCCATTACTACAACCCGCCGCGTGCTCTCAGGTCTGAAGATAAGCTCCTCCTAGCTGTTCCGAATGCACGTTTAAAAAGCCGTGGAGAAAGCGCTTTCTCTGTCTGTGCATCGAAGCTGTGGAACGCATTACCACTGCTAGTGAGGCTAGCACCAACAGCTAGCATTTTTAAATCACGCCTGAAAACTCACTACTTCAACCTAGCTTATACCACATAACTATGAACCTCACTTAGATCAACATTGTTTAAAAATGGAATTCACAATATCAACGTCCGTACTATTGTGGTTCTTCTTATAATGTTTTTCTAATTTTTAATCTCCCTGTCTCTTATTGATTTTTAGCTGTTAGTTTTGGGGATTTTGTTGTATTTCTTTTTTATCTTTTACCTGTGTTCGTCCGACATTATTGTATAACGCGGTTTAAATTCACTAACATTTTTGGTGTACAGCGCCTTGTTTGGTTGTAATGCCATGTTGAATGCGCTTTATAAATAAAATTGGATTGGATTGGATTTGTTTAAAAAGAAAAACTGAAATATCACATGGTCCTGAGTATTCAGACCCTTTGGTCAGTATTTAGTAGAAGCACCCTTTGAGCTAACACAGCCATGAGTAAAGATGCAGTTTCTTACACCCGAGGATCCTCTCCAGTTCTGTCAGGTTGGTTGGTGAACGTTGGTGGACAGTAGGGCTGCAACAAACGATTATTTGGATAATCGATTAATCGGATGGGGTCTCGACACGATTAATCGATTAATCGGATTACATGGGGAAATTTTTAAAAACTGCTAGGGAAACGTTATTTCTCTCCTTCCTTCACTTTATTTAACACAACATTATTAGAAAACAGTTCAATAGCAGAAAAACAACATGCCATCACCTAAATTGTCTTATAAGGTGTATAGACAGAGACCCTAAGCTACATCTATCTGTGACCTAAAATGCTTGGTCCAAGTTAAACAGCTTAAGGGCAATTCTCATCTGTTTTGTTTGATCTCATCTGTTGACATATATTTTAAATGTAATTAAACATAGGCTGTGAATTAATCAAAATTGATCACTATTTCCAAAAATGACTGAAAAAATACCAAATAAAACAAAAGTAAATGAATGCCATCCTCCTTGCGATGATGCCCTGGGCAACTGCCATAAAGTCACATCAAGAAATGCTGCTGATCATTCCAATGATCCCAAATAGATTCACATTAGGCCACATGAAAGCAACTGAACCCAAAAATATATTAACCAGTATATAACTGCACTCTCACACAACACGCCTGCAGCAACAGTTAGGACTCCTCCCTCCCTTTTAAAAGCGTTTTTGCTTCCGAGGACATTGTGGTTGTAAAACCACATGCTAGTAGTCTGGCCCCGGTGTGATCAACCAGTTTCTGCGGGAATGTGACGGCGGAATCAGGGCCAGATTAACACTTTGTTGTACCCTGGGCAACAATATTCAAGGGCTCCATCATCACGACCCGAGGATCACCATAATGTGGTCACATACAGAATATTTTACTATAATATGCAGTAAATATACTCAATACTTGAATGCCTGACAACACGTAACCCGCCCAGAGTAACCTTTGACCCACCTCGTGTGGACTGACCAATGAGGAGAGGGTCTTAACTTGAGGCCCTCTCTTCATTGGTCATTCTGCATGAGACTGACTCTCAACTGACGTTCAGTCGTAGGCAGCGAAGCTTCTCTGTGCAGTGCAAAAGCCCGGGTGGACAGTTTGTTTAATGTAGGGTGATCATATTTCCATTTCCAAACAAGAGGACAGGGGATCTGTGCCTATGACGTCACACTATGGCAACGCCACACAAACCATGTTGGGACCCATTTTTTGTAAGAACTAAATTAATATCAGATTCTGCCAATTAAAGGGCTCTAAAACAATTCATATATAAATATTTAGCATATTTAATGCAAAATCAAATTTTTCTGCTTTAGTTCTGCAACAAGGTTTTATTAATAATAAATTATTATACCTTTTGTTTTACTACAGCATCGGTACGCTTCCTGTGCACAGATTATTAAGGATGCTTGTTTCAGCTGTGAGATTAGACGATAGGATCAATGAAAAAATAAGTTGTCCCACACTCCATGGAAACTTTCAGAGAATCCACAAATAGTGGCTTTCAAATGGTTTTGTTACTTTTTGCAAGTTTATAAAAGAAGCAGATGAGACAGCATGTCTGATAATTTAGTTTTTCATCTGATAATATTAGAACATGTCAGTAATGTCTGAGGGGCTTTTATAAACACCATATAACTAACACTACTGGAGAGGGCATGAATTACACAGAGGCTTCTGGGGAGCCCAGTTATTGGGGGGGGGGGGGCATTTTGCCTTGGCCCCCAAAATGTCTTGAAACGGCCCTGGGTGTGTGACTGAGTTTTGAAGGTGATCTGAACTGTATCAGATGTATAAATATGACATGTGTATAACTTATTGTTTTTTATAGGTAAAAACGTGTAGTGGAGATAAATCTACCTACATTTTACTTTTCAACACTTTGTTTTCAGCGCTTTGTTTCACTTTCAGCGCTTTGGGCTTCCTGACAGGGTTGCGGAAGGCGCTTTATAAATAAAGCTTTGATTGATTGATTGATTGATTGTTTTTTTGTTTTTATTGAACTATTTTCCTGTCCTGTCTGTCTCTCATCTTCCTGCATCTCCTCTTAATTCTCCAGAAAATCTGTTGCCTGGATTCTTACCTTTTCACCTCATCAGTTACTTTTGAGCAGATCAAAGGGATCTCCTGACCGAAAAGCGCAGAGCGCGTTTTCGATGCTGCGTGAGGTGACATCACCACAGCACAGGTGATGAGCTCCGCAGTAGCGAGCTTCAGGCACAAATAAGACAGAAAATAGAGAAGATGTGCAGACAAGAATGATCGTGTGCTAATTATAGTTTTTTGGTTGCGCCACTTTGAGAATGGACCGTGCGCTGGAAGCAGCTGCCTGGATCGCTGTGCAACAATGCGGAACCGGTTCGCAGCAGCCAGAGGTGGAGCTGGCCTAAATGGCGCCCTGTGCGAGATCCCCCTGTGTGGCACCTCCAGCGGCCCGCTGCCGCTCCATTTTTCATGGGGTAAATAATAGCTAATTTCCCAATTCCAAAAAGAAAGAATGGTCCTACCAGCTCGCCACTTCAATATGAAGAAGATCAGTTCAACATGGGGAAAAAAACCTGACCTGTAGGCCAGAGAAACGTTCATTAGCACATCGAGTTCTATTCAGTTTACCGGTAAACATATCACGAATGTACAACAGGTCAATTATTAATCATCTTGGCTACGTAGCTCAATCTATGCATTCCAGTAGCGTTTGCTACAAACAAATACAAAAACAACAATAAAGGAAAACAACTGTCTGACAGACAGCATAGCCGAATTCAAGGCAACACATAACAATAATAATTCGATTGCTCTTGGTTTCAAGTTAAGCCCATTAAAGTGCTTAAGTAAATAAAAGTGTTTCAAAAACAGCGTTTTTGAACCAGAGTTCTGCTCGCGGTGGGAACTCCGCCGAACAAGGTCATTTTTTATAGCGAAAACGATCGACTGGTCACTGACAAGTAAAAGGGTGTTATTGGTAAATGTTAAGAACACTTACCGCTGAGGTAAAATGAGAGTATAAATTAACTGAGGGGAGAAAAACGCTTTGTTTTCCAACCGCCGTACAAGCAACAAGCTTTCAGCCACGGCAGGAGCAGATTTCATGGTTGCCGCGACGTGGAAGGAGCCAATCAGGAGAGGGACCTCACATCAGCTGACGTGGGTCATGTGACAGGGAGTAGTTGATATGGGTTACACTTTGCTGTGCTTTTATTACAGAAATATTATTATTATCATCACTATTATTATTAAGAACATGCGATTTCTATGTTTTGTTTATGTATTGGTTGATGCTAAAAAAAAGTTTTTTTAGAAAAAAAAAAAAAAAGGAAATTAAATGCCGCCCCCTGCAGACTGCCGCCCTGTTCGGCCGCACATGTTGCACATATCAAGCTCCGCCCCTGGCAGCAGCGCAAGTCTGCCGGCTCTCCCTCGCGCTGATCTGCCGCTACCGGCTCTCCCTCACGCTGATCTGCGGCTCTCCCTTGCGCTGATCTGCCGGCTCTCCCTCGCGCTGATCTGCCGCTACCGGCTCTCCCTCACGCTGATCTGCGGCTCTCCCTCGCGCTGATCTGCCGGCTCTCCCTCGCGCTGATCTGCGGCTCTCCCTCGCGCTGATCTGCCGGCTCTCACTCGCGCTGATCTGCGGCTCTCCCTCGTGCTGATCTGACTTGCTCTGGTCTGCGCGCAACGGCGGGCGGGATTCGGGAAGGGGGGGGGGGGGCGCTTTTGGAAGAGTTGTGCGACACAACGAATCGATGACGCAATTCGTTGCCAACGCTTTTAGTAATCGATTTTCATCGAATTTATCGATTCGTTGTTGCAGCCCTAGTGGACAGACATGTTTAGGTCTCTTCAGAGACGCTCAATTGGGTCTAAGTCGGGGCTCTGGCTGGGCCATTCAAGAACAGTCACAGATTAGCTGTGAAGCCACTCCTTTGTTATTTTAGCTGTGTGCTTAGGATCATTGTCATGTGAACCTTCGGCCCAGTCTGAGGTCCTGAGCACTCTGGAGAAGGTTCTTGTCCAGGATATGCATGTACTTGGCTGCATTTATCGTTCCCTCGATTGTAACCAGTTGTCCTGTCTCTGCAGCTGAAAAAAAAACGCATGATGCTGCCACCACCATGCTTCACTGTGGGGACTGTATTAGCGATGACAAGTGATAGCCTGGTTTTCTCCACACATACCGCTTAGAATTTAGGCCAGAAAGTTGTATCTTGGTCTCATCAGACCAAATAATCTTATTTCTCATCATCTTGGGGTCCTTCAGGTGTCTTTTATCAAACTTCATGCAAGCTTTCGTGCGTCTTTCACTGAGGAGAGACTTCCAACGGGCCACTCTGCCATAAATCCCTGATTGGTGGAGGGCTGCAGACAGTGATGGTTGACATTCTACAACTTTCTCCATCTCCTGACTGCATCTCTGGAGCTCAGCCACAGTGATCTTTGAGTTCTTCTTCACCTCTTTCACCAAGGCTCTTCTCCCCGGTAGCTCAGTTTGGCTGGATGGCCTGCTCTAGGAAGGGTTCTGGTCATCCCAAACGTCTCCCATTCAAGGATTATATAGGCCACTAGGAACCTTAAGTGCAGCAGAGATTTTTGTACCCTTGGCCAGATCAGTGCCTTTGACTTCATGATTCTCATTTGCTCTGACGCATTGTGAGCTGTAAGGTCTTATATAGACAGGTGCGTGGCTTTCCTAATCAAGTCCAATCAGTATAATAAAACACAACTGATCTCCAAACAAGGTGTAGGACCATTTCAAGAATGATCAGAGGAAATGGAAAGCACCTGAGTTAAATATGAGTGTCACAGCAAATGGCCTGAATTCTCAGGACCATGTGATGTATCAGTTTTACTTTGTTGATAAATCTGCACAAATGTCTAAAATTCAGTTTTTTTCTCAACATGGGGCGCTGTGTGTAAATTAAAGAGGGAAAATGAATGTAATTGATTTATGCAAATGGCTGCAATACAACAGAGAGGGAAAAGTGACGGGGTCTGAATACTTTCCGTACCCACGGTATGTTTTAAAATGCTGTGAAACATTCCCCCAAACATTTAAAGAATGCATCAAATTTGCTTAAGAAACATTCATGTCACTGTGATGAACTCTGTTGCCAGCTCGGCTCAGTGCAGTCCCACCTTTGAAGGGCTGTGCAAAAGGTCCTGATGTGTTAAACGCCTTAAAAGGGTTTTTATGTCTTCTACTACATCTATTTTTACCTGCAGAACCTAAAACAGGCCATGGCTGCAGAGAAGACCAAAGGTTTCTCCCACGTGATAGTGTCGTCCAGTCTAAGAGATGGTTTCTCCATCCTAATCCAGTCTGCAGGACTGGGTGGAATGAAGCACAACACTGTCCTGATGGCATGGCCAGCAGCCTGGACACAACATCGGGAATCCTCAGCCAGGAGGAATTTCATAGGTAATCCATAGCTGTGTTTCTTCTACTGAAGTTCCAAGACATTTCTAGGATGGGGAAAACTGACTGGGATAAACAATGGCTCTGTTCTCTCAGCAGTTGTGTCTTCATACAAAATCGTCCCAGTCAGGACTTTTGCATATCGTCACTGCTTTGGCAGTGGGTGATGTCAATAATGAGTGTGAAAGAGCTTCCATAGACCTAAATCCTGTAGGGAAAAAAATGTTTCCTACTTTTTACAAGCAGCTTAGGTATATTTTTCTTCTACTTTTTTTGATCCCCTTGAGGACATTTTTTCTTTGCATTTAACCAATCCTTAGAAAGGAGCAGTGGGGCTGCAATTTGCATCGCTCAGGTTTCAGCATCTTGCCTGAGGATGCTATGGCGTGAGGCCTGCAGGGACTGATCATCTGACCTTCGGATTACAGGGCGACTGTTCTACCCGTTCAATCATGGTCGCCCCCATTTATAACCGGGCTATTCTGACATGCACGTCCAAAGAAACCTCAACATGATTTGTGTACTTTGATGGTATCTTTATTTCTGTGGGTTTAACCCCCAGAGACCCACAGTTGTAATATTACAACATCAGATTTAAGTCTACAAAAATAAACCTTCCCCATTTTTTTTTTCTTTTTAAAACCACATTTACATTTCTAATAGGTCCTATTGTTCAGTTCTGCAACACTATTGGCTGTTAAAATGTGTAAATAGGCCCGTTTATCTGGCCTCCTAGAACAACATGTGAAAGGTTAAAAAAAGATTTTGCAGTTGTTTTCTAAATTTGGGTTTCTGGGGGTTAAAAAATGCATAAATATTTAAACATACATCGCTCTCTTTTCCCTCTTTTTCTCTCCCCCCCAGAGACGGTGAGAGAGACGACGGCGGCCCAACAGGCGCTGCTGGTCGCAAAGAACATCGACAGCTTCCCTGACAACCACGAGCGCCTGAAGGAGGGGACGATTGATGTGTGGTGGATCGTACACGACGGCGGACTACTCATGCTTCTGCCTTTTCTGCTCATTCAGCACAAGGTGTGCTCAGAGACAGGAACACACTGGAGAACAATCCTAAAACTTAACCACTGCAGTAAACATCGATATTAATGGAATACGATGTTCTGTAAAGCCTTGGTTCCATTGAGAGGTCCTGGACGGGTCGTACAGAGTTGTGACACTATTTTATCTGTTTCTGTTGTAAAAGGGGGTCATACAACTGACGTGGACCTTGACATTAATTCGCCCGCTTCCGTTGTGGGTCCATAGGACAATGGAGCGGTACAGCTAGAGCGGGGTGGTCAGCTGAAAAACATTATTCGTCATTTGTCCCAGACCCCTCATTGGAACCGAAGCATATACTGTATGTGTTCTGGGAGCTGGTACTGACTCAGACCATTGTAGGTCTGGAGGAAGTGCAAAATGAGGATCTTCACTGTGGCCCAGATGGATGACAACTCCATCAGGATGAAGAAGGATCTCCAGAAGTTTGTCTATGAGCTGCGTCTGGATGCAGAGGTGGAGGTTGTGGAGATGGTGAGACTATTTTGTTTGTGATGCCTCATCTGAGTTAGCATTAGCCTTGTTTACAGTTCAGCCATACCAAAAACAAACATTTGTTTGAAGATGGTTTGTGTGCTTTATTGCAGCACGAGAGTGACATCTCAGCTTTCACATATGAGAAGACTCTTGTGATGGAGCAAAGATCTCAAATGCTGAAACAGATGCAGCTGTCGCGTACCGAGAGGGAGCGAGAGGTATGATCACACTGAGAATGGAGCTCTCAGCAACTGGCTGCACTCAGCCAGGAGCCATCTACAACGAGCAAGAGAGTAATGATTAGAACTTATTTAAAGGAACAAAGTGCAAAATTAGCTGAAACGTCCCTTTAACCGATCCAGTGTACTAGGTCTTTATGTCTTCACTGTCCTGGTTGGTCTTTTATGTAGGCCCAGCTGATTCATGACAGGAATACAGCCTCTCACTCCTCTATGAGCGACAAAGCTGCAGGAGCCACGTCGGACCACGTCCACATGACGTGGACAAAAGACAAGCTGATCAACGAAAGGAACAAACAAAGAGAAGGCATGGCGGTTAAAGACATGTTTAATATGAGACCGTAAGTTGATCCAGCAGCTTCTCAGATACGATCACAGATTTTCAGAAATTGTGCGAAGATGCTAAAATATTTCATGGTTTCATACACACATACAGATGCTGATGTGTAGCCATTATTTATTGCACTGAATTACTTGAATTAGAAATATTACTAATTGTTATTTTATAACCTTTGAAAAGCTAACTGAACACTTTTAGCTGACTATAATTCAATTACAAGTGAGTAATTATCTTCTGTGAAGCCTCCTGCAGGACTCACTGAACCTTATCTTCTATTAACTTCATTTTCAAGGTCCATTCTTTAAAGGGGCATTATGGAAGTTTGACAGTCAAAACATGTATAGAAATAATAAATTTCTTCTTCATACGTTCTCCTGCAATGCCCTGGTCCTGTAGAATGAGCCCTGGCATTTTTACTGTGATTGCCTGCTTTTCTGTAAAATCACAGAAAAAGAGAGCTGCTCGGGTCGAGCAGGCTGCTTCATGCGCGTTCACGCTCAGGCATCGCCCGTAGCGTTTGCAATCCGTAGCTTTAGCAGCAGAGAGTGAGGTAGTGCCAACTCAGCGACTTTGTCGCTGTTCCTACGCCTAGTGATGAATCTAGCTACATTTCTGAGGACCCTTAGCTACTTTCTTCTAGATATTTCCTGCAAATTAGCAACAAAATAGCCATTTTCGCTCCGCACCGTTCTTTGAACGTTGTTTCAGCTGTCATCAAGGATATAAATGTTACAGATACAGAAGACGTCATTGGTGCTTTAGCTCACTTAGTGAGACAGCGGATTCTCGTGCTGAAGTCCCGGGTTCGATTCTGGATGTGAACATAGTTTATTTAGAGTTTATTTTTTACATTAATGGTATATTTTTTTTACAGTAAGATGTCCAAATTTTGATTTGAGACTCGCCGAACGCCATTGAATTCACAAATAAAAAGATGTGGGTTCAACTTTCATTTTGGAATGATTTTTCAAGCAAGGGAAGGGAATGATCTGAGCATGCAGGAGGACTGACCCATCATAAACCTTTGTCAGCTGTGCTGAAGAGAAAGGTACAGAACCAAATTATTTAATTAATTAGCTGCGCGTTCTCCTGTCCTCTGTCCTCTGGGCCACACACACACACACGGGACTCTCTCAGCTGTTATTTTCGTTAAGGAGTGTGCACGTACAGCATGCGCGCCTCGTGCACGAGCCTACTATTGAAGCTGCCGTTACGCTTTTGGCCTGAAGGGGCAATCACGAGCATAAAAATTCAAAACTCCGTAAAGTCCCTTTAAGCAGAATGATTAATAACGTAATGATTTCCTCTCCTTCATAATAATTCTCAGACAATTAGAAACACTTTGTTCTGGTCCAGTGTTGATTCGCTCTCTCTCTCTCTGATCCTCCAGGGAGTGGGAAAATCTGTAAGTTGTTCTGTTTCACTTCTTGTGGTTGCATGTGGTTTTTTATGGATGTGGTTAGCTTTACTCATTGTAATTGCATGAATATGGTGCAGAAATGAAGTTGTTTCTGGATTTACATGTAAAATGATCACACCTTCAGTTCTTTTCTCATGTAGAATTATGCATGATTAATATTATTTTAGACACTAAACATTAAATATTATTATGTGCAATGTATTTGTTTGTCTAATCAGAATTTCTGTGAACATCTTCGTGCTGCAGAAACCAGACTAATGTGCGGAGGATGCACACCGCTGTGAAGCTGAACGAGGTGGTAGTGAGGAAGTCCAAAGACTCTGAGTTGGTGCTGCTCAACATGCCCGGCCCACCCAAGAACAAAAAAGGAGACGACAACTGTATCCTTCTTTGAGTCAATAACTTCATTTCACACTCTCTTTCAGATAAACATGGATATCTTCAAAAGCACATTTGATTTAGCACATATTAAAACATTATCCACTCCGAATCAAAATGACACTTTTTATTCTCTGCATGAATGTGATGATCGAAACAGGAGGAAATACAGAAAGGATCAACATATCAACAACATTGCTAAGTTTTGCACTTGTTTCCAGGTATACCATCAGTTAAATTCTTCTTTTTCCCTCTGGAGATGTAGCTCAGGGATGGTTCATGATGGTTAGAGGGGAGCAGGTAGGTAGGTGGATGGGCGAGGGCGTATGGGGCAGCATTTGCTGTGTTTTGGATGCTTTCCTGTCTGTAAAGACAGAGCTGAGACTGGAGTCTATGTCTGAACCTTCATTTGTGGTCACGTGTTGTGGTTACACCGGGTTGAAAGTAGTCAGTTGAGGTCGTTTGGATATATTGTAAGGCTACCCCTTAAATGCCTTTCAGTTGGGTGTTACAGACATGTCCCACTGGGTAGAGAAATCGGGAAAAACTCGTGGTAAATGGTTTGTTTTTGTACAGCACGCTGTCAGGGTTCTACAACCCCCCAAGACACTTCACAACACAATCAGTCATCCACCCATTCACACACATTCACACGCTAGTGGTGATGAGCTACATCGTAGCCACAGCTGCCTTGGGGCACACCGACGGAGGCAAGGCTGCTGAGCACCGGCGCCACCGGTCCCACCGACCACCACCAGCAGGCAAGGCGGGTTAATTGTCTTGCTCCAGGACACGACAGCAGGATTCTCTTGTTGGAGCCGGGATCAAACCGGCAACCTTCTGATTACTGAAAAACCTGCTCTACCTCCTTGGCTGCTGCTGCCCCCCGACTCATCTGACTGGAAAGTTTAAATCTCACATGTGGCACGGGAACGTCACTAGAGGAGCTAAAGAAGGTAGCTGGGGACAGGTCTGGGGTCTTTGTCTAAACTGATCTCCCAGTGACCCAGTCCTGGAGAAGCAGCAGAAAATAGGTTCTTAATTCAGGCAGTGGTTAGGGTTAGTCCTAATGTAGAAATCACAGACTCAGAATGACGGTATTACATGGACCTTTCCTTAAAACGGAATAAACCTTAACTCTATCGTGTCCCAGATATGGAATTCCTGGAGGTTTTAATGGAAGGACTGGACCGTGTCCTGTTAGTTCGCGGAGGAGGTCGGGAGGTCATTACCATCTACTCTTAACCTCAGGACATTTATTTTTTTATTAAATCTTTTTTTTTTAATCAATGGAAGAAAACGTTGGACTGCGAGATTCAAGTGAAAGGTTCAGAGAGGACATTGAGACTGAACAACGTTCTTCTACCACATGGTTGGGAGAATAAAAGCTAGAAAGACCCTGAACTGTTGGTGTGAAGTTACAGAGGAGGACACTTATCCACCTGCAGCACAACCTCGGCACCGTGAGCGCTCCGTCCACTCTCTGAGCGTGCAAAGGTTGTGGCCATTTTTAAAGGACTCATCATTTCAATTTGACATGGCCTACTTTCTTTATTGAACTTTTATTTTTTCACGACTACAACCGAGATCACTGAAATCTGCACTAAGTGAGCACGTGTCATTATTTATTTCCACGTTCGTTAACACGTCTTTGATCAGGACTGTAAAAGGAAATTCTGAACCTTGCTTGTAATATTGTTTTTAGTCTGTTCATTTTACAGAATAGTTGAGTAGATTTTAACACAGAAACGCAGAAGCATTGACGACGGACTCCACAGTCACAGCTGTAACTGTGCTCTCAGATGTCACAGTGGTAGCAGATGTGATCGAGGAGTAAAGGAGGGCTGTTTTAGAATTTTATTAGACAATAATGTTTTGTATAAAGTAAAGCAGCAACTGAAATCCAGTAAATCCTAGAGTCATCGGTGCTCATATTGATTACCGATATTATAAAGTAGTTGCTAGTTGTTTGCTTTTTAGGGTTAGCGCTGATGTGTTTACCTGTAATCGGTGTGTTTTAATGTATTAAAGACAAATGGAACTTGAATGCCACCATCTTTGTATCTGGAATGTTTATTTATAATGTGTGTTTTTGCTTCATCCGTGTTTCAGTCCTGGTAGAATGACAAATGAAGCAATTAGAAATCATCCAGATTTAAATGAAGGAAACGCGTGCATCATTCATTCCACAACAAAAAACAATGTTTTGTCTTCCTCCCAATTCTTTTTGTTGAATATTGAGGCTCCACTTTGAACCTCGTTAAAGCAACACTTAAAAGTTTCTAACACTTTAAAGGCAACGTCTGAACATTTTTCTGGAACATTTTTTGCCATATTGCTTGAAATGACCCTCCCTTACTTCACATATGGGAGAGTCAAGCTTGACAAAGTAGACATTCTGAAAGAAGTTATCTATGTCAAACATGAAAACCCCACTTTAAATGGGGGTGGGGGCTTAGATTTCACCTCTCTAATAATTCAGCTTTGAATCTCATTCCTAAGCAGTTTCAGTCTAGGTCACACCTTCCTGCATCTAATCAACACGACTCCCTCTCAATGGAGGCCATGACTCATCAGGGGATGGAGAGGAGGGTACCCAGAGTAGTGTTGGCTCGTTAAATAACAATACACAGCTACAGCTTATGAACTTGACTCTCCCATATTCCAGTCAGAGTTGACAAAGCTCCTCGGATGAGAAGCAAAACGTCTTCAAGAAACCAAAGAAGTCCAGTTGCCTTCGTTTGAACCCTTTGGAAAACAACAGACAAAATTAAAGCAGATCAAAACAGCAGAAAGGCTAAATAAAAATTACAATCTAAAAGCCAAATAATAAAGGCGAGTCTTTAGGTGTGATTTGAAAACAATGGATGGTGAGTGAAATGATTATTGTTCATCCAACCCATTCCTGGTTTAGTGTAATGTACCACCGATCAGACGTGGAAACACTGGTACAACACTCTTTCTTTCCTAAATTGCAGTGAGTGACTTTGTTTAGGAAATTTTTTGTTTTGCTTAACTTTTATTCTTTGTTATTTGAATTTTGCTACTGTCCCTTGTTTTTTATCTTATTTATTCTATATCTTGCATTTTGGCATGTTTCACTGAGCTTCTTTCATTGTGTTCTACTAGTCCTTCTTATATACCCGTGATATTCTGCATGGTGGCGCAGTTGTTAGCACTGTTGCCTCGCAGCACGAAGGTTGCAGGTTCGAAACTCGGCTGTGGCCTTTCTGCGTGGAGTTGCGTGTTCTCCCCGTGCATGCGTAGGTTTCCTCCGGGTACTCCGGTTTCCCCCACAGATCACAACATGCCCTATAGGTTATAAACTGTAAGTCGCTTTGGATAAAAGCGTCTGATAAATAAATAAATATAAACATACTTCACTCGTGTCTATAATAAAGGATATTTGAACAGTCTTTACACACACACACACACACACACACATATATATATATATATATATATATATATATATATATATATATATATATATATATATATATATACATCTGTTTGTTTTATGCTGTTTTGTCTTTTATTGTTGTGTATTTTATCTCTGTAAAGTGTCCTTGAGTGTTCAGAAAGGCGCTGTTGAAATAAAATGTATTTATTTATATATATATATATATATATATATATATATATATATATATATATATATATATATATATAATGTTTTGTTTAATTCCAGTAAATCACCACAAGAGGGCGACATTTGTCCAGCAGTGTAACATGAGAACATTAAACATAGCACTCTGTAATAAAACAGAACAGAATAGAACATACTTTATCAATCCCACAGTGGGGAAATTCACTCCTTACAGCAGCACATTCACTTAGAGAAAAGGAACAAGCAAAATAGTAACAAGATGACAGGTAAACACACAAAGGTAATACGTTATCATTGTAAACTTCGACCATTAAAAACAAGTAAAAAGAAGGCGTGGGCATCCAGAACTATGCAGGGACACAGACCTACCACATCTAAACAAAATTATAACTCAATTCTTTCTCGACAGTTGGAATCGAGGTGCAGTCCACTGGATCCACATGCTACCAGGGCACAGCATCTGATTGGGAGCCTGTGTGAACGGTTTGCTAAACCAAAAGAAAAGATTCTTATGACCTCAAAACAATTCCCCCGTCTGACCCCTGATGGTCTGTCTTCACATGATGATTTTGGCTGGTGTGACAAAGCGTTTTGGACAATAGTGATGAACATCTCACATCCAATCGTCTACCTGGACTACCCCTGGACAGGTGACATCACAGAACCTCACACAGCCATTCACTAATGTACTCCCATTTATGGCCAAATCAGCCTCACTAATTAACCCAACATGCGTGTTGTAGGATGATACCAGAGTACCTCGAGATAGCTTTCAAACACACAGAGAGAATATGACAACTCCTTGCAGAAAGGTCCGAGACGAGTGTTGAACCTCTGACCGTCCTGTCATAAAATACTGAATAGTTTTAAAAAATTTAAAGTCAACAAAACAGCCGTACAATTTGTTGTTTATATTTAAGCCTGGAAGATGATAAGAAGACCAAAAGAAAATCTGTACCCCGGGGTCACCTGGCAAGGTGGTCTTAATTTACATTAAATGGATAAAAATGATTATTTTATATATTTATTATTAAGTATTCTTGACATGCCTTGACTTCACAAAAAATAAATTTAAATGAGTTTATTAAACCCTGAATCTCCATCAGCAGATTGTGTGAGTGCAAGCGATGACTTACATCTGACATGATCTTAAATGTCACAAAGTTGTCTCAAGCAGGAGGTTAGGAGAATGTGTCAATGGGGAAGGGAGGTTTTTTTAGAGACTCAGATTTCCAAACTCAGTGGTTCGGCTCTGAACTGAGAGAGTCTTTGTGCCGCCACAGAGCGAGAGAGGGAGCAGTGTGACTTCAGGTCTGCAGGCTGACGGAGCAGAGAGGGACCACGGAGTCTGTCTAAGTTTCATCACACACATCTACCTGGAGTTTCTCCTCCATGCTGGATTTTTCTTCTCTCACTCGATAAAATGGTTCAAGGGTAAGACGTTTTCTGTCAATGTTTGCTGCACAAAAACAAATAAGGTGGCTTTTCATTGAATTTGACATATTCTTAAAGTGTTTCACCTCAGAGCAGAGCAGTGTTTTGGGTTGTTGTTAAAACACGAGCAAAGTAGAATTTACACAAAAGCTATTCCATCAATATCCATCCATACATTTTCTGAACCCGCTTGTCCACGAAGGGTCGCGGGGGGGCTGGTGCCTAACTCCAGCGGTCAATGGGCAATCAGGCGGGGTACACCCTGGACAGAGAGCCAGCAGGGCAACACAGACACACACAGGACAAACAACCATGCATACACACACACACACTCACAACTAAGGACAATTTAGACAGACCAATCAACCTAACAGTCATGTTTTTGGACTGTGGGAGGAAGCCGGGGTACCCGGAGAGAACCCACGCATACACAGGGAGAACATGCAAACTCCATGCAGAAAGATCCCAGGCGGGGAAGCGAACCCAGGACCTTCTTGCTGCAAGGCAACAGCTCTAACCACTGTGGCACTGTGCTTAATATTATGATATATTATATTACTTGACCTTAATATTACGATCCTTATTTTTTATTTTAAATCTTTCAAAGTTTCGGAAACATCTCCAAGCACGATCCCAGTGTTTTCACCATGTGTCTCCTCAGGTGGTCTCCTGCCCTGCTGCTTGCTGCACTGTACTGGACAGCTGCTGACCTGCAGGAAATAGATGGTAAGATTGCTGCAGCCTTCCCTCCTGCTCACGTTTAGGTCTCACATATTTTTCTTTAAATAAATGCAAAAGTCTCATGTTAACTTTAGAACTAATGATCTTCATGTTGCTTCTGTGAGTTAAAATGATCAGATTCAGGATGGTTGCAAATGCAGTCACTCACGCACAATTTATTAAATCACACAAAGGCTCAAAGTTTCTTCAACGTCTGTAACAATGCATCATAAAACCTCAAAATGATTCATTTTTACATGAAAAAGAACGATTCATAATGAAATGTCATTTTTGTTAACGACTAGCTATGTGGAAAAAGCCATTGATGGGCTAAAAATTAGCGAATCATTCGAAAACCAAGTTCACTCAAGGAGGATTGGTGATGTGCTTGGTGAGAAAGTACAATATTTTCTGTGCCACAAAGTGATATATAATAGGAAAACATTTATAGAGTATTTACAATAATTACACAAGCGTACTTCTCAGATTTCAGTCATTCCAGTCAGGTTTTGTGAAAAGACACAACTGGAACTTAACATCTTTTCACATAATGTTCCGACAACCAGTTAATTCAGCATATACGGTCCAAGCATTTAATCCAGTTCAATAATACGTTCCGTGTGAGTGTGTAAACAAGACGTCGGCCTATCTCCAACAGCATCAGCAGGAGACTGTAGATCTTTTGGCTTGGGCTTTGCCCACTGTGTCAGAACAATCCAGTCTTCCGGTCACTTTCCACCTATGGAAACCTGGCAAGTTCCCAGCTTAACGTCACAGAAATACACAGTTTTCTCTCCAAAACACTCTCGCAGCTCCTGCAACAGCACCCTCCTCCATTCTTGGCTTTGCCTCCTTAGCTGTGAAGGTCTTTTCCATCCGATTTCCCATCCATCGCTTGAAGATAATCTTTTACCTTCTGCATCATTCTAGTCTGCACCTCCTTTGATTTCTTTCACCATGTGCTAATAGGATTAGGGACAACATCAGAGATACTCAAACACAATGGGTTCTTTCCACCAGTGCATTTCACCGTATACACAATGACACCCGCTGCCATCTTTGCCAAAATAACCTTTGCCAAACAAGATCAAGAGTACACTTGTCATCCATATGGCCCGTGTTATTATGAAGAGCCTTTAAATGGGGCGACGTGGCACAGGAGTTAAGTGCTCGCCCCATAATCGGAAAGCTGCAGGTTCGAGCCCCGCTCAGTTTGTCACTGTCGTTGTGTCCTTGGGCAAGCCACTTAATCCCCCTTGCCTGCTAGTAGTGGTCGGAGGCGCTGGTG